TGAGGACGGATGAGAAACAGTAGTGCGAGGAGGCCGAGGAGAAGCAGGAAGAGGAACTGGAGCACGAAGGAGGAGGAGGAGGAGGACGATACGGAGGAGGAGGAGGAGAAGGAGGAGGACGAGGAGGACGATGTGGAGGAGGAGGAGGAGGAGGAGGAGGAGGAGGAGGAGGAGAGGGAGGAGGACGATATGGAGGAGGAGGAGAAGGAGGAGGAGGAGGAGGAGGAGGACGATATGGAGGAGGAGGAGGAGGAGGAGGAGAGGGAGGAGGAAGAGGAGGAGGAGGCCCAGAGCCGCCGGCAGCGCCCCTCCCCCCCCCTCTCTGGCAGGGCCTGGGCAGCGGGCCGGACTTCGTCGACGCGAGGCTCCCGCGGCGCACCGCGCCCCTGCCCGGGCTGACAGCTCGGCGGAGCGTCCGGCGCTCCAGAGAAGGGGGCCCATGCAGGGGGGGTCCGTCGGAGCGCCAGATCTTGCAGGATCCTCCTCCTCCTCCTCCTCCTCCTTCCACTTCTCCTCCTCCTCCTCCCCCTCCTCCCCCCCTCCTCCTCCGCCTCGGCCTCCTCCTCCTCCTCCTCCTCCTCCTCCTCCTCCTCCTCCTCCTGCTGCTCCTTGCCGGGAGGGTGGGAAGGGCGGGTGCGCCAGGCACGACACGGACGAAAACACTTGTTGTTGGGCATTGTACCCATTCTCTCCGTGCCCATTCCGGGCGTCCAAACTGCAGGGCCGCGGGCGCACCCGACGACCAGAGCCTCCGCGGGGGGCAGCAGGATACATCAGGGGAGAGCCCCGTGCCAGCACGCCGATGCAGCATTCATCACCAGCCTCTCTCCTTTCTCCAGGTGCACATGATGAGTACTACTCTCCTCCATTCCCTGACTCCGTCCAGCGGGTCGTCGTCCTTCGCCACGCACTCCTTTTGAAACGGGATCTTGTTTCTCATGCTGCGGTCCGTCAGAACTGCGGTCCCGCAGCGGCGTGGGACTCCTTTCCGCGCCGTCGGTTCTTCAGGTCGTGATCCCGCTGCAGGGTTGGCCTCACTGTAGGACCGGCGGCTTGCTCCCGTCGTTCGGAGTGGCGATCAGGCCCTCTGGCCCCAGCGCGGGACACATTTCTGGATCCGACCAGTTCCTCATCACTGTTCCCCCCCGCTCCCTTTCCATCCCCCGCCGTCCCCTGGTCATCCTGCCCCCCAGCAGTTTCTCCCACTCCTGCTCCTGTTGCTGACGTTGCTCCTCCTCCTCCTCCTCCCGCTTCCTTCCTTCCTCCTCCTTCTCCCCCTCCTCCTCCTGCCCCTCCTCCTCCTCCTCCTCCATCGGGTTTATCCTCCGTCTCGTCCGCCACCTCCTCATCCTTGCAGGCAACTCCCCGTTTACATTTGTTCATAACACCATGGGATACTTGATGTTGTTCCAGGGTCGCTATAGCACTTGTCGGCGGATCGAGAAAACACCAGCGCAATTGAAAGTAATTGGTGGGAGGAGTAGGATGTCAGATATGGTGCGATCGCACCTAGCTTGCCCCCCTCCCCCCCCTTCTTTCCCTCTCGTCCCATTCCGCCATCCCCCCCCCCCTCCCTTTCCCTTCCCTCCGCCTCCCTCCCCTCCCCCCTCCCCCCTTCTCTCCCTTCCCCACTCGACTCCCCTCCCCCCATATACCCTTCTCTCAACCTGCCACCGTTCCCCCGCCTCTCCTCCCCGCCTTCCGCCCGTCCTCTCCTCTCTCCCCTCCCCCCTTTCCTCGCCGTCCCCCGTGGCGCGCCCACGCTGGCTTGTGCTGTGCAGCCCGTGCGAAGTGTTGTCGCCGCCGCCGTCGCCGCCGTCATCGCTGCCACCGTCGCCGCCGTTTTCGCCGCCGCCGCCGTCGTCATTGTCGCCATCGTCACCGCCGCCGCCGCCGCCGCCGCCGTCGTCGTCGTCGTCGTCGTCGTCGTCGTCGTCGTCGTCGTCGTCGTCGTCGTCGTCGTTGTCGCCGTTGTCGCCGTCGTCGTCGCCATCGTCATCGTCGTCGCCGCCGCCGCCGCCGTTGTCGTCGTCGGCGTCGGCGTCGGCGTCGTCGGCGTCGTCGGCGTCGGCGTCGGCAGGGGCGTCGTCGGCTGTCGCCCACGCCCGCGGGCCCCGCCGCGGGCAGGCGGGCGCCGGCGGCGGCGGCGGGCCGGCTGGCGACGAGGCGGGAGGTGAGCAGGCGCGCGAGGCGCGCCGCGTGCGGGCCGCCGCCACGAGGTCGCGGCTGGCAGTGGAGACTCCCATGCCAAGAAGCACTCTGCCTGCCTCCAGGTCGGGGGCGTGACTATTGGGGGTTGGATCTCATGGCGGGGGGCATGATGTTTCCCCAGATTTCATGGCGCCTCTTCCTATTTCAATACGGTCCCGGCTCCCCCCCGCTGGGCCGCGCACATGCCGCCGGCCATGAATTGCACCCCCCCCTCTTGGACACCCCCTCTTGGCCGCTCCCGACCAGGGTGCCCTGGGTTTCTTGGTCGGAGGTGGATCGACCTCCTAGCCTGACACGCCGATGAAGGAGCTGGCCGTTTTCGGTTCGCGAGGGGGCGTCGCGGCCGTCATGTTTTGCGGGTCCAGGTCCGTCGGTTACGGCCCCAGGCCGTTTTCACCACGGGGAGGTGTACTGAAGGGAAGTTTGTCCACCGCCGACTTGGGTTTCGATGGTTTTGCTGTGGAAGGCGTGACGCTCCCACACCAAAAATCAGGGGACGTCCTGGGGTCACGGGGTTGGGGTTCTCGTGGAAGATTTCTTGTGGATTGCCTTGAAAACACTGTGAAGAGGTGGCCTCACTGAGGTCTCCGTCTTTGCATTTGGGAATCATACTTCTGGGCGGTTTGGGTTGCAGCTGCAGAGAAAACCCCCTTATCACTAATTTGTCGGGCCCTCCTAACTTAGATCCCCTCCCGAAGGGTTGGGGGATTAAGTCGGGCCTGTCCCTCTACAGGAATCTTCAACAATAGGAACAGTAATCTGAGGATGATTATTCTACTATGTTTGACAACGTTTGATTACTATTTGACTATGTTGAATTGTTGTTCCAAGCATCCGCCTGTAGGAAGACATGCCCGACCGAAGAAGAGGAGGGGGGCAACCAAACTCAAAGGCAATGCTGGAGTGTCATAGGCTGTGCGCTGACAGGAGTCCCGTCGACTCAGGCTCGAACATGCTTCCCAGGCGAGGCTGCGGAGCGTTGTGGGCGAGTGCCGCCCGAGCTTGTATGTTCTCCGCCTCGGGCTCGTCATCATCATCATCATCATCATCATCATCATCATCATCATCATCATCATCATCATCATCATCATCATCATCATCATCATTATCATCAGTCATAATCATCATCGTCATCATCATAATCATCATTGGAACAGCACATCACCATGATCATCATCATCAGCATCATGATCAGCATCTGCAGCTTCAGCTTCATTGTCATCTCGATCTCAGCCTCTTCATCATCAGCGTCACCATCACCATCATCATCATCATCATCATCAATATCATCACCATCATCATCATCATCATCACCGTCACCGTCACCATCACCATCATCATCACCATCATCACCATGGCCATCGTACATCGGGGGATTTGTTGATCGCCGATGAGGGTCCCAATAGCTCACCCCTCGTGGACCTTCGAACATGTTTGTTCATGTACTGTGTGGTTCCTTCACCAGGTGGTTTTCGAGGGGCAGGAAGGGGGACGACGGTAGATTGTTCTGAGGGGGGACGCGGAGGAGGATCAGGAGGAGATGCTAGAAGATGCCGTTACGATTTGGTGCGAAGCATAGCTGAGCATGACGGTCGAGCGGCCGTCGTTACCGACGCCGTTTGGCTCGAGTATTCCATCACGAATAATATAAAACAAGTCGTACCCGTGCAATCCCTTCTGCAGGATCTGCAGGGGACGCGGTGGAGGAGCTTTCTGTACTGCTTGCGTACGGACTCGGCTGGCCTCGCTTGCACTCGAAGGAGTGCACATGCCAGGGAGGGGGCGCTCGCGGTCTGTGGCCGCAGGGCGACGATGCAGGAGGTGAGCAGGCGGCCCCAAGGAGTCGCGACCCGTGTGACGGCATGTGTGTGGCAGGTGCGGTGCCTTCTCGACAGTGTTGTGTAATTCGAAAGAGAAAAAGCCGCGCGGATTTCTGGGATCCGCGCTGGACCCCCCCCGGTGGCGCCTCCGGCGCCGCCGTTGGCGCGCTCGGCGCGCCAGGGAGGGGGTCCAGCGCGGATCCAAGCAATCCGAGTGGAGCGCCAAAGGTTTATGTTCATACAAGTTGTTCTTCTAGAGGTACCCGTCCGAGGACGGACTGTGTGAACTTGTGGTTTTAGTAAGCAAGCGTCTGTCCCCCCCTCTGTTAATTCAAGCTTCGCGCCCGCTTAGCTTCGACCGGAAGAGTTGCGCTCTCGACCCGCGAATAAAACAAGCGTGTGGTCTAAGCAAGGGTTGCAAAGGCCCGCCCCCCCCCCCCCCGCAAGGCCTGCAGCCCTCAGCCCTGCACGGGTGGGTCTCCTCGCCGCCGAGCGGTGCCTTGAATGTCCCGCCCTCGCCATCCCGTGCCCGTAAGCCTGTCACGTTGGGTGGGCCGGTTGGTTTCAAGTCGGACCCGTCCCCCTACAGGGGGATGTTCGACGAAAGATAAACAAATCCCCAAATATAGTCAAAATATGATCCAAAAATAGTCTGGGGACTATTTTTTCAAAGTATGTTTGACCTTTTGGGGGTATTTCTTCATTTTTAGGGGGACAGGTCCGACGTTGCATCTTGTGTATTGTTTCTTTATGGGCCCCTGGTCCAACGCCCCTACCGTAGGCAGGACGGGGGAAAAAGGAGGATGGGGATATCCCCTCCTCCTCCTCCTCCTCCTCCTCCTCCTCCCTCCTCCTCCTCCTCCTCCTCCTCCTCCTCCTCCTCCTCCTCCTCCTCCTCCTCCTCCTCCTCCCTCTGCTCCCTCTCCTCCTCCCTCTCCTACGTATGTCAGTGGTGGTGGGACATCGGCCCATCATCTCCACTACTCGCCATGTCGTCGGCATCTCCCAGGTGCGCCAGCCTCTGCCCCCCATTTTTCTCTTGCACTCGTTGGCCACGTCCAAACCACTCACCGACTAACGTTCGGTGCCTGTCACTCTAGGCTTGTGGAGGATGATCAATGGTGAGGAAGCATGTTGCCAAATAAGTTCCAGATGTCTAAAACATGTGTTAAACATGTTTAAACCATGGTTTAACATCTCAAACACACGTATAAAACATGTTTAGAACATGTTTCCGACATTTGAAACACACTTTAAATTCAATGATAGGATTGTTAGGGTGTCCAGTGTCGTGGCATCCACAAATCTAGGCGTGCGCCGCTCTAGCACTCGCCGGGTTGGCTCAGGTGCCCAGGAACCAAACAAAAGTCGCCAGGGTAGTTGTGCATGTCAGAGTTGCGGACAACGCCACACCGCGCCCCGATCATTTGAGCCCGGACGATGCGACGATACAGGATCGCCAAATCTTTTTGGTGAGTAACCGAAGGGTACCAGCGCGGGGATCTTAAACAGTTCATGCGTGCACAATGTGTGGAGTTGTGGGTCTCTGTGTGGAGTTGTGGGTCTTTGTGTGTGTGTGTGTGTGCACGCGTGCCAGGGAGTCGTGTTTTTTTCTCCGTGTGTGCGTGTATGTGTCGGGGGTCTCATGCGTAATGCTAGATGCGTGGGACCCCAAATCCACTTGTGTGCGCGTGTGTGTGTGTATGTGTATGTGTGCGTGTGTGTGTCGGCACGTGTGTAGGTGGAGCATTTTTTTGGTTTCATCTGCGGCGAGCGGGGGGGGAAGTGAGAAGGAGAAGGCCTCAAAAGGCGGCGGGGCTCTTCAGAAGGATGTTTTCTGTGTCTTCGGGGAGGGCTGCCTCCGAGGCTTCTGAGAACTCGGCATCGCTCGGACGCGTGCGTTTCTTTCGGCGAAGGCCAGGAGTATTTTGGTCCATCCCGCGAACAAAAGCACACACGAAGTCGAACAAACATGCAAGGGGGGAAGGGACGTCCGAGCGATAGCGAGGAGAACCCCCGCCCGTTGTTGCTTGCACCCCAGGCTTGCCGCCGATCTCTCCACGAGCTCCCGCGGGCCCGAAACCCTAAACCCTAGGGTTTAGGGTTGAGGGCTTCTCGGACGCGCAGCGGCCGGCAGTCTGGGCAAGGCTGCCCCCCCCTTCGGCAGGCTTGGTTGGGGGGGCTAAACGACCCGATCTAGCCTGCCGACGACGCAAGAGCTGCAACCACTTCCCACCCCCGGCCGCATGGCCGGCGACCTCCCAAACTAAAGCCTTTTAGGGTTTAGGGCCGCTGGCCCCTAAATTCCCAAAAATGGACGCTCCAAGCGCTCCCAGGCGCTCCCTGGCGCTTTCAGGCGCTCCCAAGCGATCCCAGGCGCTCCCAGGCGCTCCCAGGCGCTCCCAGGCGCTCCCAGGCGCTCCCAGGCGCTCCCAGGCGCCCCCACGCGATCCCAAGCGTTCCCAGGCGCTCCCAGGCGCTCCCAGGCGATCCCAGGCGCTCCCAGGCGCTCCTAGGCGCTCTCCCAGGCGCTCTCAGGCGCTCCCAGGCGCTCCCTGGCGCTCCCAGGCGCTCCTAGGCGCACCCAGGCGCTCCCAGGTGCGCCCAGAGGTGCTAAGAGCGCCCCCCACGTGTTTTTACGCGTCGGAGAAATATAGGGGGAATCGGAGCGTAAAAGGTTGCCGGGTTTAGGGTGTTGCATTCTTCGAGGATCAAGCATGGTTTATCTTTGCATCGTGTATCCCCAAGCGTGGGGCTAGGTAGCCCTAGGCTACCAGGACGACCCAGTCTGGCTACCTGCTGAAGCATCTCAGAGAAGCCCTTGTATCTCGCAGACGGCGACAATGATGCGCGGTGGGAGTTTAGGGTTCGCGGCAGGCGCGCCCGCGAACGGGCTCCCTCGCAAGACCCCCGCGGCCCCAGCGGAACCGCACCCGCACGCGGAACCCCGCCGCGCAGGGCAAAAACCCGCAGGGGGCCCGGGGGCCGCCGCGGCTCTCGCCGCAGCGGCGGCGAGAGGAGCCCGAGGTCAGCCCGACCCCGGCTGGATTTGTTCGAAGAAATCGAGACGGATTTGTTGCTCGTTGTTTTTTGCCTCTCGGGTCCCTCGCTGGGCCTCGGGACCGTCAACAAAAATCGACTCGGGAGGAAGAGCTGGTCCCAGGGAAGGGGTCGGGAGGTCGGGGGCCCGCGTCTCGAACAAATCGAGGCGTCGGCTGTCCGGGGAGAGGCCCGAGCAGTGTCAGGGCGTTTCGGTTTGCCTGGAGGCCCGCGTTTTGCGGGCCCTGGAAACGACGGGGCCGGTGTTCTGCCGGTTCCGTCGCCGTCGTATTGCCCGCTCCTGTTCCGGCTCCAGTCCCGGAGCCGTTTTTGTTGCCGTTTCCCGTCGCCGCCTGTTACCACAGTTCCATTTTCAAGGGGCACTGTTCGAAAACGGTGGAGACAGGGCCTTGACATTTCCAGGGCCCAC